GCTATCGATCAGACAAGTTATCTTGACATTGCACAAGCCATAAAGTTATAAACAAAACATCTATAATATAAATATATATATTTTATATATATATATAAACATCATAATCTATAATCTAAAATCCAAAAATAAATTTAGAATAAATTCAACAAATTTAATAATAATATTATTGATCATTTTGTTTTAGGTTATGTTCTAGTCTGATAACATTCTTATCACTAACTGGTGGTCCAACTTTGATTGTTTCTAATGCTAATTTGTTCAATTTATTAAGTTTTAACTTGGATAGCTTATTTAGGTTCAAATAGTTAGTTAATTTTGTAAGATTGTGCACACTTTATAATGTCTGATTATTTAAGCAATCATGCTAGGAGTCTGACGGGTGATGTAAAACGCAGATATTTGGACAAAATTGAGGTTTTAGGTCCAAGAGATCCCTATTTTTTGATGAAGGATTCAAGTATTATCTGGACAACTGACTTGGAAATCTTACCACCAATAACTTACCCTGACATTTTCAATTATTTAGTTTTAACCAAAAGTTTTTATACTTTAGACCAGTTTAAAGCTTATAAAAGTTTGGATGCTTACAACTTTTTTGTGTCTGGTTGGGTTTTTAATGCTAAATGGCTTGCTTTAAATGATTATATTCTTGTAGTTGCCGAGGTAAGTAAGTTTACTAATTTAAACTAATTTTTAATACTAACATAAATAGGGACATAGAATATTTAAAATTGTATAAATCAGTAAACTTCCTCAAATCTTTTTTCAAATTTACATTTTTTTTTTTTATTTTGGCACTAAACTAAATGTTTTAAATGAATTTTTGAACCCGATATTGAGAATTTTACGTTTCATAATAAAACTCAGTAGCATTCTACTCAATATTTTTCTTCTGCAAGGAAATCTATGAGTAACCATGACAGCAAAAACCTTACAAAATTTGGTCTCACAAAAAAAAAAAATGTATACATTTAATTTATGTTAAAAACTGATATATTTTATGATACGCATGCAAAACAATTACATTTGAAGCCAGATAATAATGTTTTTGTATGTGTTAGTTAGTTAGGCTTAGGGCCAGTTGCACCGTCTCTGATTAAAGTTAACCGGAGTTTAATCGGCCGAATTTGCCCGGTTAAATATCTGTTATCAGTTTATTAAGCTTAATCGATGTTTAACCGTAGACCAAGGTGTATCAATACACCTTGCCGTAGACGGTGCAACTGGCCCTTAGTACTAACCTTGGCTTTAGATTTTCTGTTGGTATTTACTACTTGCTAAACTTGCTTTGAAACTATTTTACTACTTGCTTTGTAACTGTATTTTTTTATATGGATTTACTTCAGCTTACCGCTTACGCTCAAAATTTTTCTTCTCATTCTGTGCTTATAGGTGGCTCATTCTCAAAGAATGAATGATGCAAAACTCTTGCCTTGGCTTGTGCTGAAGAGTTGTGGAAGTGTTTGGGGTGCACATTGCACATGTATGGCTGGCTTAGGTGAATGTTGTTCGCATGTTGGAGCACTACTTTTTTATTTACAATTTGTTTACCTAAAGAAATCTGAAAATGGCAAGTCAGTGACAGATGTTTCAGCTTACTGGGTAATTCCATCCAATCAACATGCAGATCCCAAAAGAATAAGCGAAATTAACTTTGACCATCCCAAATCTATGCTTCCCCAAAACCCAAAGCGGAATACTAAGTCTAAGTCTGATTTTACCAAAAAATTGAAAACAACTTTAAATGATCCACAGGAATTTAAAAACTTTCTTTCAAACCTTGAAAAAGCTAATAGTAATGCTGCTATACTAAGAGTTGTAGAACCATACAACTTAAAATTTGTTAATAATGAGTTTCCAAAAAGCCTTGCAAATCTTTATAAAGATGAGTATTCCATACTAAACCTAGAAGAATTAAAATGTGTAGGTTTAGAACTGGACTTTTCATTAACTTCAGAAGACTGTTCTTCAATAGAAAACTCTACAAAAATGCAGTCTAAAACCGAAAATTGGTTTTTATACAGGAGTGGTCGTATAACTGCATCTAGGGCTAAAGACGTATGTTCAGTAAAATCAACCTGTTCAAATAAATCCCTCCTTAAATCAATATGTTATCCATTAAAGAACATATTTAAAAGTATCGCTACTGAATGGGGGATTAATCATGAAGAAGATGCAAAAGCTTTATACATGGAAAAAAATAAAAATCACCATATAAATTTTTCTATGGATAACTCAGGCTTAGTTATAAATCCAAGTTTGCCATATCTTGGAGCCAGCCCCGACGGAATAATAAATTGTGATTGCTGTGGGAAAGGGTGTTTAGAAATAAAGTGTCCACATTCCCTAAGTCAAGGTGGTGAAATAAGAAGCATGTCTTATTTAATTAATGGTCATCTAAGTAAAAAACATCAATACTACCATCAGCTTCAAACTCAAATGCTATTGTGTGGCACTCAGTATGGTGATTTTGTTGTTTGGTCACCTATTGAATGTTATATAGAACGTATCAACATTGACCCTGACATACAAGATGAAATATTAAATAAATCTAAATGGTTCTTTTATGAATCCATTCTTCCAGAATTATTAGGAAGATATTTTTCAAACACTGAAATAAAACCTACAGAAACACACAGTGATACACTTACATATGAATATTGTGTCTGTAAAAAAAATACAGGAGGTAAAATGATAATGTGTACAAAAGAAGGGTGTCCAAATCTTTGGTACCATTACAATTGTTTAGGAATAAAACGTAAGCCTTCAACAAAAACTTGGAAATGTGCACAGTGTCAGTAAACATTATTATTATTATTAACTCCTTATTTTTTATATGTATAAGTCAAGTCTCATTATTTTGTCATCATAACTAATTATTAAAATATAAAAAGTAAGTTCTAATTTTTTTTGTTTATATGACTAAATATTAAGTTACACAATAAATTATAATATTACTGTTTATTTCAACTTAAGGGTACAACTGAATTGCACATATTTGTTAAAATACAACAAACTGTTACAATAGAATCCAAAAGACAAGTTCTATCATCTTGGTGTTTCAGGGTAGTAATTTGAACTGGACCATTGAGAATCTTAAATTTAGAACGAGTTAAACCAATTACTCGTTCTACGTGTATACGTACAGAAGCAATTTTTCTGGTTTCCTCTATAGTACAAGGATGTAATTGAGGTAGACCCCTTGTAAATCCTGGAGTTTTCAAAGTTGCACAGTGAAATCCAACACTTTCACTTATTGTAAATCCTCGATCAGCTAATACAACATCACCTGGAAGTATTTTGTTTAACAAGTTACTATTTTCAGTTATATATTTATCACTGGTTCGTCCACCCCAACCTTCAGATATAAAAGAAATACTCCCTTGTGGTGTTATTGCTATTAAATATTTAACCGTATTTTTATTTTTATATGAGGACCAGGTCTGTGCTCTAGCTTTTAAGTTGGATGGTTTCTCTATTGTAATTTCAAAACAATCTAAAATTACAGCAACAGAATTGCCAAACACATTGAAAAATGATTGGGGCATAGTACTTCTTAAAGCTGGCCAATGGATTAGTCGTTTAAACATGTGTTCTAATAGTATGATTACTTTTCTAAATATCATAGATGCAGTTGCACCTGTAATATTGAATCTAAAACCCAGGTCTTTAAAAGGCAAATTCAACCTCAGTTTCATTAAACATAATAATAATTTCTGAAACTCAGTTAGTCTCTGATTTAATGCTGTTAGCCCTGGTTTGATTGACTCTAAAACTAATTTAAATACATCCATTGTTAACCCAGCATAATATGTAAACATTGTGGGCCTATTCAAAAAAGTATTCTCTGAAAAATTAAAATAATTTACTTCCCTTTCTAACTGATCACACTTATCTTTCAAAAGTTCTAATCCTGAAATATTTGCCATTGTGAGTTCAGTATTGCATGAAATTCCTGTTTCATCATTAATAATTTCATCATTAATTTCTTCATTGTGCTGCTCATTGAAGTTGTTTTTCGGAGATTCTTCGAATAATTGTTTTGGCTTTAACAATAGTCTTTTTTCAGCCCGTTTATATCTCTGTAGGTTTGGAGTTGTAGCTTTACCTAGGGAAAAATCAATTTAATAAGTAAAATATTTATAGTTAGTAGTTAATGAAATAATACACCCATACAACAGTATTTTAAAAAACATTTCAAAAATAAGAATAATGTATATATTTGTTATTTTATGTTAATATATAAAATATAATATTGGATTTAATATCTAAATAATATTTTATTATTATGGAGGCTGTAATTTTAATGTTAGCAATGTTAGGACATAATTTTTAATAAAAATCATTTCATGTAAATTGAACGCCTACTCTTACTTTGGGTTGCCTTTTATAATGACTAATTCTAAAATTGTTTTAATAGTTAATGCCCATAGAATTTTCGTGCTAGGGATCCTTTAATGGATATACCTATATCATTTGTGGTCATAATAAATATAGAATACCTACCACTGTTTTTTATGTATCCCATTTTTAAGGTAGGAGTCCAATCAGGATTTTTCGTATCACTGTAATGAGCTGGTTTACCTACTCAACACAATAAATTTATTTTTTGTTATTATATATTATTATCTTTTTGTAAATATAACAAACCCATTTTAAAATGAAGTGAACAAATTCTCATGTGATCCAGTTGTATATCTGTTACATCAGACCGATGTAGTGCATTAAGCCATGACTTGCGTTGTGCCAACAAAAGTGCATTTATATCGGATGCAACATTTTTTCTAGCTTTGGGAAAACGATAAAATGAAAACTGTTTATTGGTTGTCTTATTAACACAATCAAATACTGAACACAACGTAGGCATTTTTAAAATGTAAGTTAATTAAATAAACTAGTAACGGAATACTGTATTACTGTGGATAATTTTTGAATTCTGGACCACCAAGTAGTGATAAGGCCTAATTGATAACAGTACACTAAACTAATCAATATAATATGAATATCATTATTACCACCGCAGTGCTGCGACGCTGCGTGCAGTTCTGAATCGTTATATCGCGGACGGCGCGGATCTATTGTTGTTGCTCACTGTTAATAATTGTTAAATAATATTATTAATATTGTTTTGTGCAGTGCGCGAGTTTTTATTCATTACTCTTATACGTGTTATAAACTATAACTTTAAATTTTAATAAAATGGGCAGAAAGACAACCAATCCCGTTAGTAAGTTGTTTTTTGATTACAACCACCAAAAAGATGAATCGACTTTCACCGTTCAAGGGTGTCGTAAACCACTCATGAAAGGACGTCATAGTCTTAATTTGGAAACCCACATTCGGAGTTTCCATTCCCATCAAGCAAAAATATTGGACCAAGCTAAGGAAGATACCAAAAATAATAAAGTTCAAAATATAAAGCGTCCATCAGATGATTCAACTATTCAACTTTCATCGAAGGTAATAAATACCTATTAAATAATAATAACAAAATATTTTACATAGGTAACTATCCACAAAACATTTTTACAATTGTATGCATAGTAGGTACAGTCTTGTAAAAATACTTTTTAAATACTATTATAAAAATGTATCTATTATACTCCATACTCATGAGTTAATATGATTATAATATTATTTCAGCGAAAACAATATTATTTTTAATTTTTCATTGATGTCAAATTGTTGCGAAAAATTCTTGTTGAATAGGTACTTTACAAGACTGGGTAGGTTAGCTAGTATACCTGATTGTGTTGATTTAGTTGAACAAAGTCTTGTTAATCTTCTTTAACTAGCTCTAATTTTTAAAATACATTTCATTTTATAGAAACGAGGTCCATTAGATGGCATGATTACAGTCCTTAAAAAAAGTCATTATGTACAATTGGATAAAGTTACATCGCTGCAAGCATGTACAGAAATGGTAACCGTGAATGGCCGTCCTTTAACCATATTCAATGATTCGGGTTTTAAAAAAATATTGAATCCTCTGACACAAGCTATTGGTGAAGGTATACCACCAAATTATTTATTAAAATATGTACCTAAATTAATTATTTCATGTATTTTGATTGAAATCTTAGGTTTTACTATTAACTCCCAGAATATAAAAAAACATATTTTTTGTGCTTCAAAAACTATTATTAATGAAATAACAGAAAATATCAAAAATAGTTTAGTGAGCTTGAAAATTGATTGTGTAAAACGTCATAACCGGTCCATAATGGGAGTTAATATTCAGTTCATAAAAAACATGAATGTTTGTTTGGCTACCCTAGCAACGAGGGAAATTAACGAACAGCACACTGCTCAAAACTTAAAAAAAATGGTATACTTAATTTATATTAACATAGTATTTTATCATATTGTGTACTAATTATATTGTATTTCCTATATTAGCTTTTTGATGTATTGGCTATTTACAACATGAGAAAAGAACAAATTTTTACAATAACATGTGATAACGCTTCAAACATGGTTAAGTTAAGTAAAATTGTAAATATGAATGATGAATGTGAAGCTGAAGCACCACATATTGAAGAGGATTTGATTAATTTTGTGGATTCAGAAGACAATGAAAGTCTTGATGAATATGCCATTGAAGACGGAACATTACTATCAACAAATGATATAGTAAATCAACTTTTTAATGAAGAAGTTGATGATCATGGTTGGTTTTTAAAACATAATAGTATTTTTTTATTTGTTTTTTTCTGTTCGTAATTCAAATAATAATATATTGTAATTTGATTTATATCTAGATAACTTACAAGAAATTATTGTTGCTGCTATGGAACCAAAATCCATAACAGCCTGTATTAGATGCTCTGTACACTCATTACAATTGTGTGTACTTGGTGGTATAAAATCAGCAGCCATATCTAATTGCATTCCCAAAGCTAGAGAGGTAATTTTAAAATATCTATTTCTTATCCTCCATTTTCTTAGTTATTTAATACATAAACATTTTATTTTATAGATTGTAAAGAAACTAAGAACTCCCAAATATGCATGTTGGCTGAAAAGGAAAAATTTAAAATATGCAATTATCGATATTGAGACCAGATGGAACTCAATGTATAACATGCTCTATAGGTTATTAGAACTCAAAGAATTCTGTTTGTCACACGAGGAGACTAACCCAGACCTACATCTAAAAAACTGTGAATGGGAGTCTATACAAAGTGTTGTTAGTTAATTATTTAATTATATTAATTTCTAAAATATTAATTATCTTCTTTTAATCATAAAAATACTTATTTTGGGTGCCAAATTAATCTGTTTATAATATATATATATTTTGGTTTATAAATGTATTCTGTAATTACTTGCACTTGTTAATTTTTAAAAATGTTATTCAGGTAAATGCTTTACATCCGGTGAAAACTGCAACACTTGCATTGCAAAAACAAAATTTAACAATTGGTGATTTTTATGCCATCTGGTTAAAATCCACTCATGGGTTGAACACAAATGGATCCATATTAGCCAAAAAAATAAAATCTTTGATGGATAAAAGAATTCAGGAAAATTATTTATCAAACAGCACATTTTTAGCAGGTACGTAATACATCAAATTAATAATTAATAATTAAACATACATAATAACAATAGATTCATATATTGTTTTAGCAATTTTTGTTGATCCTCGATACCAGTGTTTATTAACTCCTGAACAACAACAAATAGCTATAACTCGTCTTGTCGAAACATGGGAGACATTACTTCTCTTAAAGAATAGAGACTCTCCTATTGATGAATTTCCAGAAATTACCGGTAAAAAATGAATGCATATTAATTAT